GTTTTTTTTTTTTTTTTTTTAGCTTAATTTGTTTTTTCTTTAATTCATTTAATAGGTCAAAGACCAATATCAAATTTTGCTATAGTGGAATTATAGTCTAACCAAACACGGTCTTAATCTCCTTCTCTACAACGGTCGAACCAAGGTCACCCAACAATGGCGGCGACCAAGCACAGAGCCTCGAAGCCCGGTCCGATCAGCCCGAATTCAAGCACAAAGGTCTGGCTTTTCTCTTTATTACTCACTATTCAGTACGGGGCTCAACCTCTCATCTCCAAACGCTTCACCAGGTTATATATTTTTGCTTCTATTGCTTCTGTGCACCTGATTATTATTTTATGTTATTGTAAAACTGTGATCAACTCAATTTACTTGCCCGTCTCGTGAATGAATGCTTAATTGTACTAATCCATAATTTGTTTCCACTGGTGCAAATGGGATGTCGTGATTTGAATTTCCAAGGATGAATCCAGCAATTATAGAACCTGCATTTCATGTTAATTTAATTAATATTTAGTAGCATTTACATTCTTATTGAATTCACAGATATTAGTAATATTATGAAAAAAATTGAATTGAAAAGAATGACTACATCGATATGAAATATGGCTAAAAACAATTAGTTTGGCTGCTGAAATAGAAACCATGACATACAATTTAAGAGGAACCATTTAATTAATAGATAAAAAAATTGGAAGTGAATGTAACGACTTCTAGTAATGTTTGAAGAAAAGGGAATTCTTATCTTTTTTGGATCCTTTTAGTTATTTGGTATGATGTGAATGCCACACTATGTTTTCTTCCATCTGAAATGGGAGCTGGCAATTTAAATACTGAAATGATTTACTCTGAGTTCAAAAATCAAGGTTTTCGTTTTATGCTTCCAAACAGAAGAGTAACACAATAAGCATTTATATTTGTCTCAAGTTATGGCTATTCGTTTTAACTTTTAAGTGCCTTGGGACGGAATACACTTATACTATGTTTAAATGCAACTCTTATTCTGAACTGTTAGTTGCATGGAAGAATTGTGACTTAATAAAAGGAAATGTTTTTGACATCTCACCATGTCTTGAGCCTTATAGTATGTTAGTTTGACTGATTTATCACATTGGACACTTATGATATGTACCGTACACTTGCACCTTATGCATCTTGAGAGGTTCTTCAGCCAGTCCAGGAAGTTTTTTAAAGAGGTGTATTTATGTTTTTTTAAATTAAAAATGTTATTTACATGGAAGATGTTAATTGACAAAGTAAATTTCACTTCACCAGTGGTAGTATGTCAGTTTTCAAGCTTACACAACATAAATTGTATTAGCAAGTAGCAACAACAAACATGATTGTTTAGTTCTTTACTTTTTCAATGCTTCCCCCAAGATCTGATTGTTTGTTACACAATAGTAGCTCTTGCTGTATTCTGGGGGACCCACCAGAACCTGAACCTATAGGGTACCTTACTAGGTTATTGGAATCTTGCTTTACAGCCGCCTATGGTACTCATGTTTGGTCTTAGGTATTCACGGCCCAACTTTGTCTTCACATTTTCATAAGTCACGTGCTTGCATTGCTATGTTTGTTTTCAAATTTACAAAAAGAATTATGCTAACTTATAGAGAGACTATACTACCAAAACTCATAATTCTGTTGCTTCAATTCCTCCCTTCAACTTCTTGGTCTTTCCAAAAATTGCAATTGATTCATCCTTTTGTGTTGAGCTAAAAAATGTGGTAGTTGTATTGCTCTTTAATTAAGTTGAAGTTCTTGAAGATATTTAAAGATATGTATAGAATTCATGTTTCCTAATATTCTTATTAATGGAAATTTTCCCATTTTTTCTATTAAGTAAATTTTTTTTCTTCTGCTATTTGGGAATTACAAAAATTGAAGGATTGATCAGAGGATTTAGGTACCCATGTGCAACCATAAAAAATAATAAGATACGATTAAATCCTATAAGGCTTCCAATATGGTTTGAGAAGTAGGGTCCTCTTATCTGGGAATACATGTGTCCCATCCACTGCTATCCCCCTGTCGCATTGATCATCCATATCTGGCAAGAGAAAGTTTCTTTCATGACACTAGAAAATTGTTTACTATTTTGTGTTCTGCAAACTGCTGGTTAGAGTTACCATGCCACAACTTCATATATTATTCTTCCTGCAGGAGAGAAGTGATCGTGACTTCATCTGTTTTGGCTTGTGAGGTGGTAAAGGTAACTAGTGTTCTTTACTTTTTTTTCCACCTTTTTTATTTGAAATTCATATGAATTTTAGCTAATTTACACATTTTATATGCATAATAGGTTGTTAGTGCTTTTATTCTTATGGCAAAAGATGGTACTTTGAAAAGGCTATACAAGGAGTGGACTTTGATCGACTCCCTGACTGCATCCGGACTCCCAGCTGCCATATATGCACTGCAAAATAGCTTGTTGCAGATATCTTACAAAAATCTTGATTCACTCACATTTTCAATGTTGAACCAGACCAAACTATTTTTCACAGCTTTGTTCACCTATATAATATTAGGGTATGTGCTCACTTGAATCCATTCGAAGTAGTTATGATTATTTGAATGTCTTGAGAATGGACAGATGTATAGAAAGAGATGGTTCTTTTTCAACTCTCTCAAAATGGAATCTATTCCTAACATATATGCACAGTTCCTTTCTTAGACAGGCATCTTCCTAGACTTGTCGAGAATCTTCTAAAGATTTTAATGAAAAAGCAAATTTCACGATTGAGATTCGTACTGTCGTCATCTTCCTCTAACGGGTTTAGGTTCCAATTAATTAATTATAGATAGTCAAGACTCCAACTGTAGCATGTTGCCAAGTAGCAATTTTGACAAGTGGGTTTGTTAAGTTAAATATTTTCTGCATAATAATATGTCACATCAGCCATGAAATCTACTCTCTGGAGTAAGTTTGTAGGTTTATCTTCAAGGCATTATTTTATGTCTAATTGAGGCAGTACAAGGAAACTATCACCTTCTAAATACTAAACTGTTTGCCATGGGGTGGTAGCGATCATCNATTTTATGTCTAATTGAGGCAGTACAAGGAAACTATCACCTTCTAAATACTAAACTGTTTGCCATGGGGTGGTAGCGATCATCGTTTGAACTACACGCCTTTCTGACTGAGATACTCTTTTTTCTTCTCCTCGATGTGGAAATTCTTTGAAAATCCAGTAACTCAGTATCATTTAACCTTTTTGTTGAGATTCAATCAACCAGATAACATTATAGAATTGCTTGTCAGAATGTTAGTGCTGGTTTTTTTTTTTTTTTTTTTTTTTTTTTTCATCAAAAAATTCTGTCTACCATTTTTTCTTTTCTTGGTGAGATTTGTAGGCAGAGGCAATCTATTCAACAAATTGGTGCTCTTTTCTTGTTGATAATTGCTGCCATCCTTCTAAGCATCGGTGAAGGCTCCAGCAAAGCATCTAGTACTGATAGTCCTGATGAGATTTTATTCTATGGAATTGTTCCAGTGTTAGTTGCTTCAGTGCTTTCTGGTCTGGCTTCTGCATTGTGTCAGTGGGCTACTCTCAAGTAAGCAATTTTTTCATGTCTGATTTATTTGAAAGTTGAAACCTGTGTTCTCGAATTATTCCTTCTCCTTTTACGTTCACATTTTTTCCGATATATAACTAGGTTAAGAAACATGCATCATACTTGATGACTGTTGAGATGTCAGTAATTGGAAGCCTGTGCCTGCTGGCTAGTGCTCACAAGTCGCCAGACGGAACAGCTATTAGACAGCATGGGTTCTTTTACGGCTGGACTCCCCTGACATTGGTAATAAATAATATTCCATATCGTATGACACTCGAAAAATGCAGAGGTTTTCTAAATTGTTTAAACCTGCAAATTTTCAGGACCAAAAACACTGCTGAGCTTTTTAGTTCTCTTGACTCTTAATTTTCTCAGTTACATTTTTTTTTTTTAAATATATAATTTTGAGCTGAAAATCAAGATCAGATTTTCTGTCGATGACAACCTATCTTTCGAAATCAAAGGCGCATATATTGTAATAAATTACAATCATTGTATTCTTTTTATATGCTGAAAGTTTTATGTGAAAGTAATATAACACTGAGTCATTCATCTGGAAAGGATCATGTATGTGTGATTAACTAATTATATGCTGTTGAAAATAAATTCTTAATTTCAGATGTTACTTTCTTGTTTCAGATCCCTGTTACGATGAATGCTGTTGGAGGGATTCTTGTTGGTCTCGTGACATCGTATGCGGGTGGTGTCCGAAAGGTAAGTCTTACCATCACAAGGTTGTATAGAATTTTGTGGCAAATAATTACCCAGTTTAAAAGATCAGGAGACCAACGGGCTTTAACTTGCTGTATGCATGTCATATATCAATTGCTAAAAAGTTAAATTCATGAATAATTTTTTTTAAGGAGCTCCATTTGTAACACACACTTGGAAGGCGTGGAGATTTATGGCTAGAGAACCATCACAAGATACTCTACATAAAATACGGAACTCTGAAGTGAGTTAGATACTTGGGGCATGTTTGGTGGTACAGCGGAGTGGACAGCTTTGGAAAGTATTAGGAAAGAAAAAAGAGCTGAAATCTTTTCAATTCTGCCTAATACTACTTTATTAGACGCACTCACGGATTAGGCTTTGTTGGTGTTCAGACTAGAGTGATTATATTTGTGCCTTTCCAACTTAAGTAATGTTATTCATAGTCAGCGATGGCTAATAGTTATCTTATTTAGTAAATTGTTAGTTGAGGCATTACTTTTATGGAATTATGTTGCTTTAAATAATAAGCTAATGCCTCAAATAACAAATTGTCACAAACGATGACTATGAATGGCATTACTTCTCCCACGTATCTATGAAATAACACATTGTATGAACAATGGTGTGGCCATGTCGACGTGTTACCATGATTTTTGCACTCTAGAATGATTTTCCCTTATATGTTTTCCTTCTATATTCATGCAGGGATTTGTCATTGTGTCTGCTCTACTTGTTACTGCTTTGCTACAGTTCGTCTTTGACGGGAAACCACCTTCTCCATACTGTCTTGTGGCGTTTCCGCTCGTGATCACTAGCATATCAATATACCAAAAATATCCATATCGTCTTAAAAAGAAAGACTAGTGAATCAAGAAACGTATACAATTGGAAGAGGTACTAAGTTGGCCTATTTTTTGTGCATCCAAACATGCAAGTGATTACTAAACATCATTCATTATACACTTTATGAATATCAGTAGGCTGAGGAGAGATTTTGTAAATTTTACAGAAGTTTTGCATTTTGTTCATCGAATTCATCCACGTGGACTGTGATCGCTTTTTTCTTCCAAAACTTTGGAAAATACTTGTTGTATATCACTATTTACATAATTTTTTTACAAATTGATGAAGTGTCAAAAAAAAGTGGAGGAATTATTTTTATTTGGTTGATGAGATTTTGATCCAATTAAATTTTGCTACATCATCGATTAGTAAATAAATTTGTAAGTTATAATGTTACATAGAGTGAAAAACACATGAAAATAAATGTTTTGTGCTAGGAAGCATCAATTGGAACTGCAAAATGTAGTTTCAAACTTTCAGTTTATGTACATTGATGACATACGTACACAACGCAGAATCATCGCAGGAAAAAAAAAAAAAAACAAAAAAAAGATTAATCTGATGTTTGTAACGAGGTTCAAAGGATGGTCTACTGTGGTACTGTTTAGACTGCTCAAAGTTATGTAAAGACGACGTCAACTTGATCTGATTGTTCCACAAAACATCTCAAGAAGATGGAAGGGAAAATAGAAATATCAAATCTTACCAGTCCCAGATACATCACCAGTTAGCCTCATTCTTAGTGTCAGATATATTAATATCACTGTTCCCACACTTGATCTGTGAAGAAAAGATGAGTTAGTGAGTGCTAAGTGAAAGAAATAACAATTAGCATCCCTATCCAAAGAAAAAGTTTGAAGGCATGACAACAAATGACGATAACAAGCTAAACATTGTTCTCAATAAATTTGAACTTATAACTCTCTTTCAATCGTCCTGTTTAAGGGAACTTAATCTTTAACAAATACAATCCATATAATTTTGGTTGACCACTCCTAACCCTTTTTTGGAATCACTTATGAGCGAAAGCCTCTTTAAGTCTCTGTTAAATATGTTCTAACGTCCATTCTGACTCTCTCTCACACACATGAATGGAGGGAGACCGTGTTTCGCTGTAAAATGAGTAAATAAGAATCTGGAAATATTCAGTTCGAAACGTACAGGAAAACCTTCTTTGGATTTGCCCAAGATTTTTGGAATTCATTTATTTCTCTCAAGAGTGGCTTGCTCTAGTTTTGGTGCGTTTCATGTAATAGGTTTGTATGGTCCCAAAAATATGGATGCCGATCCTTGTGGACTATCGGGGAAATACAAGTATGCACCTTAGTAACTCAGTTCATTCATCACACACTCCTTCAAAATCAAACAACCGGAAAAGTAGAGTTCTAGAAGGAGGTTGTATAATATATAAAATATGCACTTACAAGGCTGAGAAAAGGAGAAGCACTCTTCTTGAATTGAGTGAGACCAAACGTTTGTACTTCCTTGATCCGTTAGTAGTAGGTTTGTCAAGTACTCTCTCAGGTCTATGGTTCATCAAGGGTTGCACAAATTTCCCTCTAACCCATAAGGTAAATTCAGTCAGCAATTCCCTCTGCAAAGCAGTTCACTGTCATTTGAAATTGCAAACAATGGCAGAATTTGGAAAAGGGAAAACACGACAGCGTCAAGAAATTACTGCTAAAGAATCATCATGTTTCAAATTCACAACAGATTTCCCTGATTCTGGCATTCCTTTCTCAATATCAACATTCGAAACAAATGAGGCACAGCTGTTAGCCTCATCCATCTTTAGATTGTTGTAATTTAGTAAATTTGATTCACCGTTTGAGCAAATCTCAATTTTCATCATATTAGAAACTTCAGCACAGTTCAGAAGTTCTAGTTGTGGTTCACACTGTGTGTTCACGGTGGCTTCTTTAGGCAACATCACTGCACAATGGACCTGTTGACACCGCAGAAAGAAGAAATCACCATATTATCACAATTTGCTCTCAGCAAAATCAAACAGGAGAAGACGGGAGAATATTTTGAGTTAACAAATTTCATGATGATCACATTAATCAAATCTCCATCATAGACCACAAGAAAATAGTGATTTAACTTATCAGTCAAACAGACCACAAGAAAATAGTGATTTAACCTATCAGTCAAATGATAAGTGTCAAAAAGCTTGCATCAAATGAAATTCTGTGAAGTGTTACCAAATCCTCATCATTCACAAGCAAAAAAAGCGAACGAATGTAATGAATTCCTATCACTATGCTTATATGATTGGTTCTTACATCACTTAAGATATTCAATCGTGTAACAGACACCTCGCTACACAGAAGTAAACATGTGCAGACCATCTAATGCAATAAGGAAAGGTCCATTATATAGCTAACAGTAAGGCTGAGAGGTGCCCTTTGAGCATTATAAGGGATCGTTTTATCACAACTTATCCGAAAATTATTTTTTCTCAAACTCATTTTCAACCATACATTTTTCCAATAAAATAATTTTGGGCGTCAACGCATAACTTTTTCTTTACTTTTTAACCAAATATTCTAAAAAAAAATTCATTTTTCACTTCATATAATATCTCCCAAACGAACGTAAATGTCTAAATTAAATGACATAGGGAATAATTGAAATTCACATTAATTGTACTTTGGTAATATTGCAGAAGGACAATACAATTGTTATCAAGCACAAAATCTACAGTAAGGACGAAATTAGAAATTTGGATTCATTTAGTGTGACAATGATATAAACCACACACATCCATTGAACGGTAACAAGTAGCTTTACCACCAAAAAAATAAGTCACTTTTTTCCCCTGCTTGTGAGTAACGATAAATGACATACTCCAAATATCTTTAGAAACAAAAGTTACTTAAAAGTAAATTTTGGAAAACATGTTCTTGCTCCCATTTTCAAATAAACTGTTTGACGAAAAATTCTTTATAGCATACAAACACTTTGTTTAAGAAGTTAATGTAATCTTGGGAAACGTATAATAGAGAAAAATATAAAAGAATAAGAAATTCCCCAAAATTAAACAGATTCTACAACAAATTTTCTAAGAAAAAACAGCTTTGAAGCTGTTCCAGGCAATCGTTTTCTGAAATTCAATAATTGAATCACTAAAATAGACTTAAAAAATAGTAAAACTCTGTGTGTGTGTGTGTGTGTGTGTGTGTGAAATAAGAAGATTACACGGCACAATGGGAAGGAGAGCTCAATCACTGATTTTCTGAATTCTTTTCTTTTTCCCTTAGATGGTCTTTAAAATTTCATTTCTATGTTTATCCAATGTTTTTATACTCTCTTAAATCTCATTAACCACATAATGGTTAATGATCAAATATTGAAATCGTGTAACAAATTTCATGATGATCACATTAATCAAATCTCCATCATAGACCACAAGAAAAGAGTGATTTAACTTATCTGTCAAATGATAAGTGTCAAAAACTTGCATCAAATGAAATTCTGTAAAATGGTACCAAATCCTCATCATTCACAAGCAAAACTAAAGCGAACGAACGTAATGAATTCCTATCACTGTGCTTATATGATTGATTCTTACATCAATTAAAATATTCAATCGAGTAACAGACGCCTCGCCACACAGAAGTAAACATGTGCAGACCATCTAATGCAATAAGGAAAGGTCCATTATATAGCTAACAGTAAGGCTGAGAGGTACCCTTTGAGCATCATAAGGGTTCGTTTTATCACAACTTATCCGAAAATCATTTTTCCTCAAACTCATTTTCAACCATATATTTTTCTAATAAAATAATTTTGGGTGTCAACGCATAACTTTTTCTTTACTTTTTAACCAAATATTCCCAAAAGAAAAATCATTTTTCACTTCATATAATATCTCCCAAACGAACGTAAATGTCTAAATTACATGACATAGGGAATAATTGAAATTCACATTAATTGTAATTTGGTAATATTGCAGAACGACAATACAATTGTTATCAAGCACAAAATCTACAGTAAGGGCGAAATTAGAAATTTGGATTCATTGTGTGACAATGATAGATAAACCACACACATCCATAGAAGGGTAACATGTAGCTTTACCACCAAAAAAATAAGTAACTTTTTTTTTTCTCCCGCTTATGAGTAAGAAAAAATGACATGCTCCAAATATCTTTAGAAACAAAAGTTACTTAAAAGTAAATTTCGGAAAACATGTTCTTGCTTCCATTTTCAAGTAAACTTTGTAACGAAAATTTCTTTATAGTATAAAAACACTTTGTTTAAGAAGTTAATGTAATCTTGGGCAAGGTATAATAGAGAAAAATATAAAAGAATTAGAAATTCCCCAAAATTAAACACATTCTACAACAAATTTTCTACGAAACAAACAGCTTTGAAGCTGTTCCAGGCAATCGTTTTCTGAAATTCAATAATTGAATCACTAAAATAGACTTAAAAAATAGTAAATTTACCATTTTAAAGGAAAAATTGCAGCTCTCAAATGTAGACAACGACGGAAATGAATTGTACCCAAAAAAATAAAAAATAAAATATAATAATAATCCTACCTGTTCACTGGCATTAACCACCATTCTAGTCACATTCAAAGCTCTATTACGTCAAATCCCTCTGTGCATAGTTACAACTCTCTCTCTCTCTCTCTCTCTGTATGTGTGTGAAATAAGGAGATCACACAGCACAATAGGAAGGAGAGCTCGATCACTGATTTTCTGTATTTTTTTTTTCTTTTTCCCTCAGATGGTTTTTTAAATTTCATTTCTATGTTAATGTTTTTATACTTTCTTAAGTCTCATTAACCAATGATTAATAATCAAATATTGAAATCGCACCCATGATATTGATTGCGACATATAGAAATATAAGATTGACCGATTACCCGGAATATTTTTTCGTATTCTTATTTTAGGAAAGGGAATCTCGACGACTTAACCTCTGAACCGTTTGATCAACTTCCTAGTTGAACTGACTACTAATTGAATTTATCTTGATTTTTGTAAACACAAAATATTGTGTTAAAGCGACATAGTTAAATATTTAGGGTTAACAACTAAATTTTTCTTATAATCAATGAAAATGGGAAAAATAAGGATCTGTTCGGTAGTGATTATGAAAATTGATGTTTTTTTTATCGTTAGAGAGAAAAGTGAGTCTCATTTGTGAGTGAAAAAATCAGGAATAATGACTAGAATAATGAAATAACAGTAAAAAAAATTTGATTTCTTGAATTGAAAGATTAAAACCAGACTGGGGCTAAGATTGGATTCCCAGCCCGAATTTTTGCATCAAAACATACACAAGGTAGAAAATAAAAATAAAAATAATTAATTAATCGATTCCAAAGTGCATATCAAAGTTGAGTGGCCCACCCATCGGAAATGTGTGAAGTATGAGGACATACTCCACTCGTAGAATGATTATAATTCTTGATACGTGTGCGACCGTTGAACAAGTTGTTGAGTAGAAAGAAATGTAATTCTTATCTAACGATATTTTGTGACGTTTACATTTAAAATGAACAAGTGAATAACCCATGAAATATTTAGGATTTAAATTTTGAACCCCTCTGCATAATGTAGAGATTGGTTCTTAATTGCCCTCAGGGCACATCTCCAAACAGTAAAAGAAGAGGGTGGAGAAATCCAACTTTACTTGAGGCTGTCGCGTCAAGTGTTCGAATCTTGAAATATGGATTTGGCTCTTGTGTAAGTGCAAGTTTACAAGTAGCCTTCCACCCTATACCCTTGGAGGCATAACATGCGATTTACATCTCTCACGATGCTCCAAGGCACGACCGGTGGAAAATCCTTAAGATTGAGGTTCAACCTTTTTTTAGATTGGTTCTTAATTTATCAAGAAGAGTAAATTTATGTGCTTTTGTGTGCGTGTGTGTGAAGAGCATATTTTGACGAATACGACGAAAAATCATTGTCGGGACTTGGTAATAACATTGTGCCAGATTTGTCAACCAAAGGACGGTCACGGGCTGTTAACCAAAAAGACCTCCTTTTCAATAATTTGAACGAACGAAATTTAAGGAGACTGAAATTGTTTTAACACGCAATTTACATATATAATTATGTTTTTAAAGTTGTTAAAATCTTGTTACTTTATGCATTCATAGTTCAAAAGTTACATAATTCTCGCAATTAAATGATTGGACTTAAACCCAATTGTTTTGCCTTACATTAAACTGTTGTTTGGTCTCAATTATTTAAAAAAATAATAATTATTATTATTTTTGATCATATTTCATGAGATTTATAATTTATTTACTTTACAAACTCACATTCTTTTATCAAAATTTACTAGCCTCCATTTGGTCCTCATTATTTGGTACTATAATTTTTGAAATAATGTTTTTTTGAAGAATATGTAGTTGAAAAATAAGGAAAAAAATTGGTCTATGTATAATATTATTTTGTAAAAAATTGTGTGATTGAAAATAAAAAAATAAAAAATTATAACATGAAATAATAGGAGTCAAAAGAGGGCTAAAATTATATTTTTTAAGCTGGATCAAGTAGTTAAGTACCTTTACTTTATGGTAATAATCTTATGATAATTATATGGGAAAAATTCATAAACCTGGTGTATTGTTTACACCATTTTAAAAATCAGGTAAATAGTTTGAAATTTCAAAATTCA